CCTCAGGAGCTTTCCAATTAGAAAAACATGCTCTCCTCTGTCTCCCATTTCTGCACCACTACTTTCCTGTCACAGCTGTGTGAGAGGTCTGCCTCACTATTAGGCTAAAGTCTGGCATAATTAGCATAAAAGAAGAGAAGGGTAAGGGCCGGTAATCCTTGTTTGAGGACGTACAGTGCACTCGAGCATGAAGCCATGACAAAAACTACACTAATTAGGACAGAAAGAAGAATATAAATCCAGCTGTAAACCCGCTGTACCTCTCTGCGAGTTCATTTGAACACATCCAGGGTGGGTTTCTCTGTCTTTGTGGTCCTCGCTGAAAGTTAGTAACCTTTAGAAGTGGAGCGCTGCTCATGTAAAATTCAAACAGCCTTGGAGCATGCTAGCTCTGTCAGTTTGTGTTTGTATCCGCCGCGCCGTGAGCTCCTACCTGGGAGACGGGAGTCGTGGACATTTTGACACGTTGTTGAAACAGCACGCTCAGTATGCGGTTTTGTTGCTCCAAGTCAAACACACGGGTCCGCAGCTTCACACACTCCTCTTTGAGGTCCTGGAAACAAATACAAAATGGACAGATGACGGCGACTGACGGCGGCGCTTCAGAGACATACACGTAAATCAGATGCTAATTTAGCAGCCACAGGGAACGATGGTGTATTCAACTAAAGATGCACATGATGGTGCTCGAAAACATGAGCAACCTGGACAGGAGGACCTACAGTGGTGTGACTTAAGAGGGGGGCTAAGGTGGCGAAACCCCCATGATACTGCATGAAGTATACTTATAAACTGTAGTCAATTTCTCACAGCCGCTGTGACCATTCTTCACATAAACGTAGAGCAAAACCCTTCATATGTTACTTAAATATCAGACTTTCTGTTTATAGCATTGTTGGTCATGACAGGGTACTTCTGCCAGGGTTGTTTACAGGATTTCGGCACAGAGTGGTTCCAGGAACGAGACCAGGGAAAGAGGAAATGAGAATATTTGATGATAATAAACATAGCATACAGCGTGCAGCCTCCCTGAGAATACCCTGGGCGTGGCTGCGTCTCTTTCTGACTCCACTGCGGGTGCTCAATCGCATCTTTTCCACTCAAGACAGTATTTCAGTGCCGCAGGGTCCCAGAAACAGAGCTCAGGTTCTCATTGCTTAAAATACTGCTGGGTCTGTTTTTAGGAGCCTGTGTGGAGCTGCACAGAGTAGGAATGGAGTACATTTTCAAAAAAGACTGCTTCTGAAATGGCCCTGGTGTAATTTACCGTATTTTTTGGACCACAAGGCTCACCGGTTTATAAG